TTCCTACCTTGAGTTCCTGCCCTGGCTTCTCTAAGTGATGGACTTTGACATCGAAGTAATAGGTGTCATATACTCTTTCTTCCCCAAGTTGGTTTATTTAGTGTTTTATTACAACAGAAAAACCTAACTAGAACACCAATAATACTATTAATTGACAAAAAAGTAACTGGAAACCTGCAGGTTGGCTTAGGTTGCTCGTGCTTCAGTTTTATCAAAACAGGGCTTATTCTAGTCATTCTTTCTGCCTCTTTTTTCAAGTATATATCTTGATTATTCCTTCTAATTAGTATGACAATTACAGAACTTAGAAATAGCAATGATTGTGCTTAATTAAAAGACATGTAAGAATTTGGGCATCTGTTGCTCTGTTTTCATGAATGTTAAGTCTTTAAACCCATTCATTGTCATGATTGTCAAGAAGGTTTTGGGTTTGGGGTTTTTGTTTGTTTGTTTTTTAGGTTTGTTTGTTTGTTTTGTATTTTTTAACTGCTTGGGCTTGGTATAAAATACGTTGATTTAGAGACTGAACTATAAGGTTGTATAATTGCACATTAAATACCATAAAAGATTGTAAATAATGTCAGTGGCATAGAGATGACAGGCAATACAAATTCTATGGGGTGGTTTAAAAGCAGAGGAAGCCAAATAGTTATTGAATGTACAAAATTGAGCTGGGGATTTACCAGTACTGTTTTGACTGTGACTTAATCATCTCCTTTTAAGGGTGGATTATTGAAAAAAAAAAGTATTAAGTGAATTATAGTAAGAATTAAAAAAAATTGACAAACTATCCTGACATATAGGAGAAAGTCCACAGTCCAGAATTCATATGAACTCCAGTTCCCCATGTGCAGCCTTGAGATGTTGGCCAATCGGACACTTGCTCAGCCTTACCTTCTTCCTACACAAAGCAGTTAGTATTACTGCATTCCTCATGTTTCATGTAACCATTGAATAAAACTGCATTGAGAAGGGAGAGCTATTTGTTAATAATCTTAAAACACAAATTGCGTTAAGTATGTGACCAAGAAACATGGCAATGCTAGCAACCTATGGATACTTAATTTTATGGTAGAAATGTAAACAAGATATAAGGCTTAAGAGCAAGGCCTTCCGGTTTTGAAAGTAATTCAGTATTGTGTTCTCACTTCGCTTTTCATAAGCCATTTAACCCTCAAATGGACATAAATTTAATACTCACTTTGTCAGAATATGTCTGATAAGTAATTACACTTATAAATTCTGTGGCATACATAAGATCTAAATATAATTATTGACATAATTAAATAGGAAAAATTGACTAGAATAGACATAAAACATACTTTGACTTTCCAATAGTTGATATAGGTTATATAAGAGTTGGGAAGTATTTCTAATGTGAATGTTAAGAATAGTTGAAATATCTGGGAATAAAATGACCATGAGTAGTGATCCTGGGAAAATAAGAACACATTGCAGTCATCTCTCTGTGGTTTGCTGGAGTTGAAGTCTGGAAGGCCAGAGCTTGGTTAGAAATAAACTAGAGAACACAAAGCTATGACGTTAGTCTAGAAGGAGATTTGGAAAAATGACAAACTGTGACTGCCAAGACCATACTAAATGCCATATTTCCAAGGCAAGTGTCCACACTTGGACATCAAACATGAACTCTTTCTTCCTTCTTTTTTTTTTTTTTTTAAAGTTCTTCTCTCATATATTACATCCCAACATCAGTTTCCCCTCCCTCCTCTCACCCAAGTCCCCCCCCACACACACACACCTTCCTTCTCCCTCAGACTCACTCCTCCTCCTTTCCCTTCAGGAAGTAGCAAGCCTCCCAAGGGATATAAACCAAATATGGCATATCAAGTTTTTTACAAGACTAGGCACCTCCCCTCATATTAAGCTTGGATGAAGCAACTCAGTAGGAGGAAAGGGTCCCTAAAAGAAGCAAAAGAGTCAGAGATGGCCCTGGCTCCCACTGTTAGGCATCCCATAAGAACACCAAGTTATGTAAGCATAATATATATGCAGAGGCCCTAGGCCAGATCCATACAGGCTCCCTGGTTGTTGTTGCTTCAGTCTCTGTGAATTCCTTTGAGTTCTGACCAGTTGATTCTGTAGGTTTTCTCATGGCATCCTTTACCCTTCTGGATTCTATAATACTCCCTCTCCTTTTCCCACATGACTCCCTGAGCTCTGCCTAATGTTTGGCTGTGGGTCTCTGCATCTGCTCCCATCAGTGTTGGATGACGCCTCTCTGATGATGATTATGCTAAGCTCTGGTCTAAGAGTATAGCAGAGTATCATTAGGAATCATTTCATTGACTTTTTTTTGTCAGTCGTGTTTAGTTCTATCCTACATCTCTGGGCTGTACAGCCTCTGGGTCTGGCCCTCCCAGCACTGTCAAGGGTGGGCTCCCTCTCATGGCATGGCTCTCAAGCTGGACCAGTCGACTTTAAGAATATGGTTGGCTCTGCAGAGCTAAGGACCTTGTTTATGCCATCTAGGGTTAATTCTAACTCTGACTCCCTGATTCTGTAATTCTACCTTATGACTGACTTACTCATTATTCACTAGAAATCACTAGGCAATTAGCTGCTGGATACGGAACATGACTAATTTTTACCTAAGGAAGGCAACCACAGCTTTGGCAAGTACATTCATACTGTGGAGCCCAATTGCTTGGGCTTGAATCAAATGAGGCATTCCTACTTCCAAGATGCATTACCTGAGATGAGTCATTTTCCTTCACACCTATTAAGTGGGAACAGTAGAGGTGTGTTTCTTCTATGCTTCTGGATGCTATCATAAGGTAGAAATGAGCTGGCATTTTTAACACACTTATGGTATTTGTCACAGACTAAATCTTCCACAAGTATCATCTGCAGCTACAAATTATTTCTGTAATCCACCAATTAACAAATTCTAGATTGTATTAACCCAATTGTATTAACACAAAGCTCTCTAGAGCCCCTCCCCACAGTGTCTGAAGTCACCCGCTCCGCCCCTCCCCGCCTCCAGCCCCCACAAGCGAAGACCCCCCCACCCCCGCTTCTCCCAGAGGCTGAGCAGACCCCAAAGAAGGCACAAGTCC